ACATGGAAATGCAGGATATAAGGCAAAGTCTTACAAGGGACAGATTTTTGTTCCTGCTTATTCTCTGAAAACACACATTGCACATATCTTCCTTTACAAGACAATAACATCAAAGTACATCTCAGCAGAACTGACATTCACTCAGCACACTGCAGTGAGTAGTATGATGCTGTGTCAACAAGTGCTTAAAAAAACTGATCAAAGAAAAGAAACGGGACGCAGCCCCACAGTCTCCCAAAATCCCAATTTACTCGCCTGTCAAGGGATCATGTATTTTTGTGCAGTGTGTGATACAGTGGAGTCAGATAGGAGGGTGGGGGTGGTGGGGTGGAGTGCAGCTGACAGCAACCATTTTAGGAACCTGGGAGCTGACAGCGTGGGAGGAAAATGTGAGTGAAAGAAAGTCTAATTAAGCACACAGACATTGGTTAATTGTGTAGGAGTAACAAATAACAACAGAGTGCTTATCAGCCCTGCGTGGTAAGCAGTGTTCACGCTAAGTGTAGCCATGATACTTCAACTGACGCAAATAAATACAGAAATAAAAATGTCCACAAAAAATAGCTTGGATAATTTGTTAAGCTGAAAGGGCTTTTTCTGCCAAAAGGGCAGTAAAGTAATGAGTTTGCTTCCATCGTGGCTTCAAGTCCAAAAAGGAAGAAAGTCCAGGAATCATTTTGATAATTAAAACTACTGCAAACAGGAGCTGGAGAGCATCCAGGCCGATCGGCATTCAAAACAGCAGTTTGCATGCGAATACCTCACAGACACTGAGGTGCAGAGTCAACGTCTATACCAGGGAGTAAAAATTAAAATCATATTTCGTCTTGACTGAGACGAGGATGAAAAGGGAGATAAAAGCACAGGATTTGGAAGAAATAGCCCACAGCTCGCTCCCATGCTGGCAGAGCAGCTTGCGGTCTCCTCACTAACCTTAGCCAGATCGATGAGCGCTTTCACAGCAAACATCTTCTAAATCACTTCTACTACTACCATTACAGGTCCCATCCATGCATGCCTACTTAAATGTAAATCCACCCGTCATTCCTCGGGTTACACATGTGATTCTCCTGCTGAACAGCAAAGGAAGAAAGTCTGTAGGAGGCAGACTGCAAGCTAAGAGCGCACCTTCCCCTCTGCTGTCATACATTTGCATTGTTAAAGTGCAAATGAGCTCTTTAAATATGACTCACATGTTTGGTGAA